TGGTTGTCTGAAAGCAGAACTTGATTTTGACAGTATTAGGCATGTTTGAATAAATAAATAAACAAACAAATAATTTGTATGACCCCCTCATCCTGCAATTTGGGAGTATACTGTATGCAATGGAACTGCTAATAAGTAAATTGCTAAAGACTAATCTGAATAGGGAAGTCATGAAACAAATTATTTCAGGCTAAGAAATAGGCAAGTAATCTATCAAACAAAGACGTGAATACAGTTTATAGAAGAAATGTATCTCTCTATGATTCCTATGCAGTTTCATTAATATTCAAGGTATTCCAGATGCAGTGTCCAGAAAAGTTATTGGCAAACAACATTAGACAGGAAAGCAAAGCAAAGTAAAACAAAAATAAAATAACTTAGGATATTTTTATCACACTCCAATCCCTTGAAGGAATGTGCAGCTGATCCACACTTCTTAATTTCTGGTAATCAAAATGCCAAGAACAAGCAAAACTCTCATAATTTAATCCTGCCCATCCCAAACTACTGTAAGTCCTACAAGGTCTACTTCATTACAGTTCCATGCAAAAGATATTTTTTTAAAATCCCCATTTCTTCATGGGAAAGGAATTATGAGTACCGGTAGTTCCCTATAAGGGAGACTTGTTGCAAAAACATCAGGTCACCTTTTTTTGCCCCAAATCCAAGTAAGAGAAATAATAAGGTAGGTGTTCCTGAAAAGTATTTAATACTCACAATCTCCATTGAGGAAATAACATTTCAAAAGAAAACCAAAGCAAAAAAAACCCCCTTTATTTATTTATTTATCTTTCTTTCTTTCTTTCTTTCTTTCTTTCTTTCTTTCTTTCTTTCTTTCTTTCTTTCTTTCTTTACCTACATACATACATACATACATATATACATACATACATCCTTTACGAGCCACAAATTAATTAGCTTAGCTCTAGAAAAGAGCTAACATTTTGAGGTTATTAAGGTACATAGCTGCTTTCCCACGGGGTGCAAAGTCTTCAGGTAAAAATATCCTTTGTCCTCCAAAACTGATTATTGGCAGTTCTTGGACTTTACTTAATGTAGTTTTTTTAATGTCCATGAAAATCACTAATGATACTATTCTGAAAGAGATCCTGAAAATAGTATTAAAAAAAGAGAGGGGGAGAGATTTGAAATTAAACCCAAGTAGAATGCACATTGGGTGATAATTATAGTATATTTATATTGGACTGCAGATGCAGACAAGATCATAAGAATGGAATAATAGGAAATTCCAAACTCTAGAGAAGAGGTGGAAAGCGATTATGAAGATGATTAACTAGTTGTAAAACGAGAATAAATAATGGCATTACTGAGGGAACTATTCAGGAAACGATTGTAATTATTTTGGAATGGGTCTTCCCCCCCAAAAAAAATGGAAAAAAAATCATAGAAAGATTCTCTAGACTGTTATTTTGATCCTGACACAACAAATGGACTCTCTGCATTCTGGAATAAGAAGAGTACTACTGCCAAAAGTGGTAACTAATTAGCTGCAGAAAACTCACTGTTTCTAACACAATCCAATTATGCTTGAATGGAAAAAGCTTTGTGGCACAATGTGAAAAGTCCCATTAAGGCACTAATCATGGAAACTGGCCATAAGGTACCTGAATAGATGAAGTCTCTAGCTGAGGGTAAGACATCTCCTGCCCAAATGTTAATGAACAGGACACTGACCTTTCAGTCACAAATAAAAACACTCTGCAGATGGAAGATGAGACCAGGAAAAGGGAACACATTAAACTCAAATAGAAACTACATATAAACAAGTACAAAATTACTTCTATATGAAAGTATCACAAGAACTTAACATTTGTATACGTACCTACAGTACAGATGCCAAAGAAGTAAAAGTAAAACAAAAGACAACCAAGTTTAAGTAGGAAGAATGTGGCTAATGGAACATTATGCACAGAACAACTTGAATACAAAATGAATCTGAGCAAATAAAGTATTAAACAAAACAAGAGACAATAATAAATTAATAAATAAAACAAGCAACAAAGTTCTTCAAAGATCAAAACTGAATAATTTCTTAAATGATCAAAAAACAAATCAAAGACAATATTTTAGATATAACTAGAAAAGATTAAAACCAAAGATTTAGAATATTTATAAGTATTAAAGAGAAAAAAATAATCTGGCATTAAGATTTTTTTCAAAAATAATGTATTTGAAGTGAACAATTCATCACACATAAAGAAAAAAGGGAAAGAAAAACACAATAAATAAAAATGTTAAGAAAAAATCTGCAATTCCAAATATACTCCACTTAATTTTATAAATCTTTGAAAAGGAAAGTAACTTTTCATTGTTCACCAAGCCTATCCAAGTGTTTGTATTGAGATAATTATATGACTGAATTTCAGATAAGAAACTATAACAATCTGTTTAAAAAGAGGGGAATATAATATTTTATTTATTTATTGCACTACTGAATCAGATAGGGATCTTCAACAGTTCACAACAATCTACAACTATTTAAAATAACTCTGGTAAACCTTAGGGGTTAAAAAAAATCACTGATGTACTACTCGATTTTTTTTTTAGTCAGGTGTTCACATTGATTAGACAAGATTTTTACTTTTACAGAGTCACTGATAGGCTTATTATCATGTTGCTAATAGTGATGGCCACAGAGAAAGTTTGCAAGATTCAAATCTTTATAGTAGGTGAAATATGTTCCATAATATTAGACATTTACTATGGATCAAAGGCATATAAAGTGTTTAAAATGAATTATATTAAACGTTATTGGTATGATTTCTTAACAATTGATCCATAACCAATTTGGAAATCCAAGCAGCCCAAGATTAATTTATATTTGTAAATTATGAATCTAAAATTCTGAGGAGTCTATGATTATTGCCAAGACAGATTTATCAAGTTATCTGATGAAGGTGACTTTCCATGGGCTTCTTCTCTCAACAAAGGTTCAAATGATTTGTATTCAGACCATTGTCCAGAAGTTATTTGGGAATAAAAATGTCCACAGTAACTGCAACTAGTGCTAAAACCAAAGCAAGCAAGAACTCTTATGTGTTAATTCTTGATGATTGTGTGCAAATATACATCCTACATTTTGCCCTCTTTATTATTTTATTTTTCATGCATGAAGCATCAAATGGCTTACCTAAGAATCTAGTCTAAGCCTCCAAATTCTTATAAACATGATTTTGTATTCATTTTCTGGGTAAGATATTAATAGGGCAATGCTCTTCTAATAGGCTATTCTTCAAATGCTTTGGATTACAGTTTTTCTCTACCTGAATTAGCATGGTGAATTATGTCATTTGGAAATAATGGATACTGTAATCTAATACATATGGAAGAAAGCAAAATGTGTTATACATGTTGAAGCCAAGAAAACTGTCTGCAAAAATCTTCTCTAATTATATATGTGAACTTGAGCAGGAGCTGATCTTACTTCCTAGATAGAAAATAATTCTGGGAGATATGATTCTTAGAGAAGCAATAATACTCTAAGCACAATAGCTAGCTTGGATTCCATTCCATCTTAAATAATTTTGATCTATTAATTCCATATTACGTTCTAGTTTTTTTCAAACTGTAGTTTTCAGTAGGAAGATGAATCAAGTCAATATTTGCTTATTGCTTAATATACAAGCTAAACTGAAATTTAAGTACCTTTTTAAAAAGGTGGGAGTATTTTCTGACAGATAATCCTTCATTTTGCCACTTTCTCAAATTACATTCTGTTTTCACTTCCTTCTAATGTGTGGAGTGGCTTGGAAATTAGTACAGCAATTTGCTAAATATGTTTTTAGCTTGTTACAGGATCTTAATCAAGACATTGATTTGTTATGCCATGAAAATTACTATCACAGCCTTCAGATGTCAACGTATTTTCAAAAATTTCATAGGATGACATTATTTTTGTACTTCCAATCCACCTGTAAATAGCCACAATCTAATTTAAAGTTGTAATTCTAAACACATCTGTGATTGCCAGAAATAAAAAGGACTTGCTGCTTTCAAATAATGATTTTTTAAAGCATACCTTTAATGGAAAAGCGAGACAAGTATGGTAATATGTAAAAACAAATCAGCAATGAAAAGTAACCTAGAATACATGCTTATATCTTCCATATCCTTGTTAGGCACCTTATTAGAAAAAAAAATAGTTTATAATACATTGCAAAAGATCACCCGCCCCCCCAGAGCATATGATGACATTCCTGAAACTGCCCTTATTTTATCCTTACATCAACCATGCAGATTTGGTTGAAAGCCAATTATTAGTCCAAATTTATCCAGCAATCTTCATTTCTGAATGGGAATCTGAACCTAGGTCTACTCAACACTCTGTCTGCCCCTCCCTCTCATCTGTCACACAGAGTATGTGGGCCTATTGATCATATATCATGCATTTTTTTTGTTTTACAAGTGTAGGGTTAGGGCTGGGGTTAGCTAGTTTTAATTAGCTAGGAAAATGTTTATTGCAGGGATGTCAAACTGCTGGCCCACCGGCTGGATGTGTCATGCAGAAGCTGCACCCACCCCAGCTCCGGCAAGGGGGAAAAATCTTGATACGTCGCAACACATCATGTTATGCGGTGAGTTTGACATCCTGATTTATTGTATATGGAAGGCATTTATGGTATGCACTGGTACAGTGACACTTCGTAATGCATTTTTTTTTTTTTTGCAGGCAGAATTGTTTTAGAAATGCAATGTGTTTTTTAATGAACAGATTCCCTAACTGCACAATTTTGTCCAAACATCTAAGTTGGGAATTAAATTGGTAAATGTTAAAAAGTGTAGGCATAGACTTGAAGTTGGTTGCATACAGCAGGCAAACCATGGAATACCAGATACTGCTTAACCCAGGCAATTTCAGGCAATCATAGCTGGACAAATTCAGGTTATATATCTGAGCCAAAAGGATTTATTTCCCATTTCTAGGAGTTATGTAATTACACAAGGAAATCTCAACATGAAGCAATTTTTGGATATTTTACCTTCAACTCATCAGCATCATAGAAGTTTATGCGCACTGCAGGGACCATCCATGTCTGGAAAAGGGTTGCCAAGATCTGTTTGGCAATGGCATCTGCAATGAGATGGAAGTGAAGAGGGTTCCGTCTGTTGGAAAGAAAAGGGAAGGAGAGAAGAATGGTGAAGACTTCAGCCTCCGTTTATACAGAAAGAATTGCCTCTCTCCCTTCGCAGATCATACACGTTTTGCTTTCCCTATATGCCGCAGTACAACACATTAGAATAGGTTTTTTTTTTTTAAAAAAAAATCCATTTTATTTGGATATGGTTTAAAAAATTCTCACAATATCCAGTTTGCCTCTTTAAAGATTAATGCCCTCCCAAATTTGAATACTGAAGATACTAGTTGAATTTTTTTATTATTATTTTGAATCATCTTGGAGGATTCACCGCTATGATTTTTTTTCTATGAAAGAACAGGAAAGAATGGAAAAATAGTTTTTTTTCTGTGTTTTTCTCATTGACCTGCAGTGTTAAGTTTACACCACATGGAGATGGAGAAGCTCCAGTAATAAACCTGGAAACATTTCAAAGGAAGGTTCTAGCCCCTTAACTTTGTCCTATTTTGCGACAGAAGATTTTTACATAGCTTTTCTGATATGAATTACAGGTAGTCTCAACTTAGAACAATTCTTTTAGTGACTGCTCAAGTTACAACAACACTGAAAAATGTGACTTATGACCATTTTTTGTATGTATGACCTTTGTACCATCCCCATGATCATGTGATCCAAATTCAGATGCTTGGCCACTGGTTCATATTTATGACCTTTGCTACGTCTCTGGGTCATGTGATCACTTTTTGCGACTTTCTGACAATCAAAGTCAATGGGGAAGGCAGATTCACTTAACAACCAGGTTACTAACTTATCAACTACAGTGATTCACCTATGAACTGTGGCAAGAAAAGTCGTAAAATGGGGCAAAACTCACTTAACAACAGAAATTTTGGGCTCAATTGTGGTCGTAAATCGAGGTCTACCTGTATATAATGTGATCAAATTTTGCTATGTGATTTATAGAACATTGCAAATCATGACCTTTGTATCATAAAATAATTACTAGAATTCTTATTTTATTACCATATATCTTACAGTTTTGATATATAGATTTATAGATATTTTTATCTTTTACTCCTTTATTTTTAAGTATACTTGCCTATAGTTATAATTTAATTTTGAACTTGAAACAGAAATATGAATTGAAATTTTAGTTAATCTTGAATTCTATCAGGCTCATTGAAACAAATCTGAGATAAGTCTAAATTTGGTTCCCACAAAGCAATTTAAATCTGATCTCCTCCCCACCCCCTGCATTTTATATTTTGAATTTGGAAGGCAATAATCATGGTTTGCACACTTACAAAAATGTGTACCTTTTGTCAACATGCATTTTTTTAAATAAGTCACCAAACTTTTAAAAAGTTTGCTTGCATAAACGGGAAGCAAAAACCTCATGAAGCTATACATATGAAAGAAAATATAGGAGGCACGATTCCCCGGATAGTTATTGTTGGTTTTTCCCAAAAGTAATCTATAAAGACATTTAACACAAATAGCTTTAAGCTGTTCTGTTTGAAATTCAATGTGGTTACCCCAGCATAAGTATTTATTGTTTATAAAATTATCACCCAATGTTAACAAACAAAAATAAAATTATCTTCATAATTCTCCCAATAACTGTTAGTACTGTATGAGACAAGATTTGGTTTTGTGGATGAACAATGAATGGGAAGGGCAATGAATTATTCAATGACTAAATGGTTTGTTTTTCCAATCATCAGTTTTGTGTTGGAACCATATCTTCTACAGCTAGCCCTTGTTTAGCAACCACAGTGGTAACTGGCAAGTTGGTCATTAAGTGGAGTGGTTGTTAAATGAAACTACAACTGTGCTTATGATTTTCAGCTTTCTTTTGCTTTCCAGACCTGTGAAAGTTGTAGATGAAAGTTACTTTTTCATCATCATAATAACTGTGAATGGTCATTAAACAAGAACTAAACCCTAATTAGAAAGAGTAACATAGATTACTTGACAGATATATATAGCTCCATAAAAATATACTAGTTTAATTAATTAATGCTTCCACTATTAATCACCAATGTAACATAAAATCAAAAGCCATAATAATAATTCTTGTACTTTACCTCTTTGGCAATATCTGAACTTCTTATTTTACAAATTCTATATTTGAAAGCTTGTTTATATTTGTTAAGTTCACAAATTAAATTAGTCTTGGAAAAAATATTGATTCATTCAAGCTAATAATGAAAAAAATCTGGAAATAACTACTGTACTTAGGATTATCTTCCTTTTATATACACAAGGTCCAAACACGTTTTTAGAAAATAAGATGCATATGCAGTACTGTTAATGTATACAGAGTTAAATATAAACATCTTCATCATATTTTACTAATATCATACAAATAACAATAATATCAATTCATAAATCAATAATGTCAATTCATTAATCAATATCCTGTTTTTCATACTCTTGTTAAGGTCTGATTTCCCATCAATCAATCCTTCTCTTATCTTCATATTTCCCATATCAAAAAAGCGAAAAAAATGCCAACTTAGTTCTAAATCATATTTTTCATTATAAGGGTCATCCGTTCTTTTAATCTTAAATATATAATGCCCACTCTAAAAGGTCAAATATTCTGTTTTTTAAATCTGACTCCTTCCTTCCTTCCTTCCTTCCTTCCTTCCTTCCTTCCTTCCTTCCTTCCTTCCTTCCTTCCTTCCTTCCTTCCTTCCTTCCTTTTTCTTTCTTTTGTAGCTTTCCAAGACAGTTTCTTTCTCCCTCCATTTCTCTTTTCATTCCGTCTTCTAAGTTGTGACATTTCCCCTAACAGCTCTATATTCCATTTTTTAAAATCTTCCTTGCCATCAGATATATTTTACTCTAAGGGGTAAAAGGTCTACTGCATTTTCATTGTTATAGCTAAGTCTTGCAGTATTTGGTTTGTATATAGTCATTTATATTTCCCTTCTTTTATCTCTGCCATCTCTAAATCCATTTCCTCTGTTTTGTCTTCTGATTTCTGGTTTATTTGTTCATATTTTGTAGTCATTATCTGGGAACTTTCTAGCTGTAGATTTAATTTGGAGATTTGCTTGTTTATATTGTCTAAATTGTTTTTAATCTCATTCTGATTTCTTTTTATGTTCTCTTTGCATTCAACAATTGTTTGGTGAATTAATTGTAGCATAGAATATATTTCTTTCTGAAAGGTGTTTGTTTTGTTTTCTTGAGGCATCATTCCTGGAGATTCTCTAGTATTACCAGTCTCAGTAAGAGTAGATCAAAGTTTCCTCTAGTTATCTGGTCTTTATATGTATCCTTTATAATCCAATAGATTCAAAAGTTTAGGTTCAGTCCTGAATATTTTATAGTGATCCTTTGTCTCAAGTATCCAAAAATTGTCAATCAGGCAAGGTTGTAATCCACAATGTTTGAAGTGTTCAAAATGTTCAACCTCTCTGAAAACAGCTTAAAAGTCTCTCCCAGCCAGGTGTAGTCCAAGGTCATTTTTTTCTTTCTCTCCCACCAGCTCTTGAAGTTAAAAGTCCAAGCTCAGTAGGTATTTATAATGCAAGAAGGTCAGGGTGATAAGTATGCCAAAATATTTTCCTTTATTGGCAGCTGTTCTCCAGAGTTAGGAATCACCAAGCAGCCAGGGAGCAAATTATAGTGCTATATGCAAATCCACCACTAGATGTCATCCCAAGTCTATTTTCCACTCTTAAAACAAAGGATTGATTTCTTATATTTCACCTCAATGGTTTTTTTTTTCAAAGAGAAAATCTTAACAGTTATCTCAGTTCTCAAATTTATCAAAACTGTACCTTTATGTTACTTCCACTTCAGTATTGTATGTTTCTGTCCCCCATAAAACTAAAACGGCACTTCCATTTACATTCGGAGGTTTTTAGCTTCTTGGGAGCCTTTCCCAGGAAATTCAGTTGTAAAATAGTAAAGAAAGGACCAATATTCTCACCCAGTTCCAAACATGCTGTTTACAATGTATTAATTGGTGCTTTTTCCTTCTTCGATTGTTAGCAGCTAATGGCCGGCCACAGGAATGTAGTCGCTCTTTTCCCTGCTGGATTGGAGGGCTTTTTTTGGATCGAACGGAAAGACCGCCGTCTCCATGATCAACAAGGCACCCCTCCTCTTCATCGCCTCTTTGGGGCAATTGTAGGCCCTTTTTAGGTCCCCCAGCAGGGTGAAATTGGGTGCGGAAGACTGAGCCCTGCCTTCCTGTGTACTATCCCGCTGCAATGCAAACCGGAAGTCTACCCATCCTCCCTATAAAGTGACTTTGTTACATGTTATAAAATAAGTAAAAATTATCCAACAATTTGCACAGATGTATTTTTTAATTGTGTTGTGAGTAGGATTTAAATTTTCTTCGATAATCTATTTAGGATTTTCTATTTCCAGTAGACACTTTGGTACTATAATTTGGGAATTGATGCTATGATATTTTAAATGAAGAGGCTAAGAAGCTTTGTGCTGTATATGTTAACACCAATGCAGTAAAGTTAAGAAGGTACATTTATGCTACTGTTGCAACTCTTCAATTTTGAGCATTAGTTGGTTGTAAATTACTGTATTTGATTAGAAAATCATTCCACAAAATCATTGAAACTTTGATCAAATATTTTGGACATTAAATTGGATATGTAATGACATTTTTAAATTTTTATCTCACACATATTGATTTATCTTCTTTGTTTAAAAATGAGAAACGAATCACACTTTTATTGAGCAATACTAAATCTCCATCTGAATTACACTGGTTTGTATTGCAGGGGTTATACATTCAATTTTTAAGCATAAGTGAAAAATATAGTAAGGATGTATGGTCACTTCAAAAAGTGCTTATCCATTTACAATCTCTGTGACTTCCCACTTGGGGGAAGGAATAAAAAAATGCAGAAGCTAAAAGAAAACAGATGGGCCATTTAGCCTTTAGCATTTTGTCAGCTTTCTCTCAAGCCTCTGATTATCGCTGTGTGCTCTCATTTACTTATAATTTATAAAGTTAAATACCTGTACCTGCCAAGTATAATTTTT